TGAGAGAGAGAGAGAGAGAGAGAGAGTACGTGCATGTTTTGCCCTATTATGATTAGCTAACGTACGTATATTATGCTTCTGAAGTCTCGGGAAGAAGAAAGAGATGAAACACAAATACAACCTTTAAATATTATTATTTCAAAAAGTTAAAATTATGATTATTTCTTTCTTTAGATTGATGCCATGAAAGCTTTCGATGGTGACCGTGAAAAACTGGGCAATGCTGAGAAATTCTTTCTCTGTTTGATGGGCCTTCCAAAGTAAGTTTGTGCTCTATAATTTTTTGGTACTTATTTAGAGAGTTTTTGCCTTTAAAGAATAGTATTGTAGAAATAGTTTGATAGTCATTATTGTCGTTTCTATCGGTGTTATAGTGTTGCTGTTAAAGTTATTGTTGTTGACACACAGTTAGATAACAATGCGGAATTCGTCATCCCTTTTATGCTCTTTGAAGTTATTTCAGAGTCCGCCCTTAATGTGTGTCGCCATGTATCATTGTGCGCGCGCGCGCGCGCGCGCGTGTGTGTGTGTGTGTGTGTGTGTGTGTGTGTGTGTGTGTGTGTCAGTCTGTGTGTGTCTGTGTGCGTGTGTGTGTGTTCATAGTTCATGTATGTGTGTATTTGCCAACTTTTACGAGTTTGAACATTTGCTGTTCACCTTCTACTCTCCTCTTTCCTCCCCCTCCCCCTCCCGTTCCCTTTACATCTTTTCCGCATTTCATTCCATTTCATCTTGTCTTTGCTCCGCCAATTCCCTCATCACCACCACCACCACCACCATCACCATCCCCCCCTAAAAAAAAACCCGAAACCCTGCACGTGCCTTATTACGTCACGCACCTAGAAGAGAAGGGAGCCGGCTCATTTGCATTTGCATATTCATGTACTATATTGTCTGCAATCTGTCAAGCAGAGGGCGACTGCCAACATGCAATATATCTGTTGAGTATCACAATAGCTCCGTTCTCCTCCCCCCTCCCCCTGTCGGCGCAACCATCAATCTCTTCGTCGCGGGCTGAGACAAAATAAAAAAACAACAACTGACCTGTCATTGGAGGTGACAAAATGCGAAAGCTGGACAGTGCAGGCCCTTCTTTTTGTGACCTTATTGTCCAGTTATGACAAAGGGACAAGAGGGGAGAGTTTATGGAGCGGATAGGGCTTGTTTGACTGTTAGCATTTGTATTAAAATATATTATTTGTTTTTCTTTTTATTATCTCACACATTTAAAGAACGAATAAATAAAAGTGAAAGAGAGAATAAAGTGATTTCCTGTTGGAAGAAATTAAGTGAACAAGCAAGAGGAAACGAATAGAGGACAAATGAATAGATAATCAGACTATTGAATGAATGGTTGATTGGATGAATAAATGAATGAGTGGATGAATGAATGAATAAAGGAATGAATGAATGAATGTGTGTGTGCATGTGTGTATGTGTGTGTATGTGTCTTTGTGTGTGTGTGTGTGTGTGTGTGTGTGTGTGTGTGTACCTGTACATGTTAATGTTTGTGTGTTGGTTTGTACGTTCTCGTGCCTATTATTACGAGAAAGTAAGGCAGAATTGGAAATTAACCCAATTTCTCCTTCTCCCCCACCCTCACCCGTTCATCCCTCCCCTCACAGATCAACCTTCTGGACGGAAAGCGGAGTTTGAACGTGAACATCTTCCTAAAGCAGTTCCGCATGAGCCACCAAGAGATAGTGCAACTACTGCGGGACGGGAAGAGTGGACAGTTCGGACCCGAGAGGCTCAAGGGCTTGCTGAAGCTTTTGCCGTCACAGGATGAGGTGAGTCTCTTTGTGTGGAGAGAGAGAGAGAGAGAGAGAGAGAGAGAGAGAGAGAGAGAGAGAGAGAGAGAGAGAGAGAGAGAGAGAGAGAGAGAGAGAGAGAGAGAGAG